TTTTTGTGATTTTTTATTTTTTCAATTCTAGTAATCTCTAAGGTGAATCTTCTTGAAAAACTCAATGGAGTTCTTGCAGAAAACCCTAGCCGCAGCTATATATTTCTTGCTTCTCAAAAAGCTATTCTCCCAAATTCTCAAAAAAGCCCCGTTTGAAGAATAAAAAATGCAGATTTATATGGAGGCAAAATAACAAGCTGCCGTCACGCAACTTAACAGTGCATGACGCCCGAGAGCTGCGGAGCGCAGCTTCACTTTTGGACCATTGCAGCGTATCACACACAAAAGTATAAAGCCTTATGTGGCCTTTGTCAAGGTGACATCATCCTAGTAGAGATTGCGTGACGGCAACTCTTATACCGTCACGCACCTTATAGCTGCGTGACGCACTCCTAGCGCAGGTCAACTTCCTTAAACTTGGTTTAAATCGATTCTTTGTTTAAAAGACTCTGGGTTGACCCGATTCCGTTATCTGTATCCTTGTATCCTTCATCGAGTTAGGTGGCATATCAAGAACACGCGTTCAACAAATATCCGCTTATAATATCTGATTGGGATGGCATAAAATCTTCAACTTAACCCCAAACACATTGCAAACTTCAGAGGACAACATTTAGGGGTTGAACCATTATCTACCAAGATCATAGGTAATTGTTTACCCCTTAGCTTGGACTTGGATGTCAGAGAGCATGGTTATGCATTGGCAAACCCCACTTTTGGGATTTTCATAATCAGCAAAGGTGGATGCCACGCAAGGGGTTTCCTTGTTGAGTGGTGTTGAACGCGTTCTTTAGCCCCCGCCAATCCAAGGATGATACGTACGAGGATGTGGAATGAAAGGTTAATGTTATCTAGAAGTCTTTTAATCCAAGGATTTAAATCAAACCAATTTTAAGTTTTTGGTTGGGTCAGTCACATCACCCAACTGTCAGTCGCATCACCCAACTGCCAGTCGCGTCACCTAACTGCCAGTCGCGTCACCCAACTGCCAGTCGCGTCACGCGACTATGAAAATGAGCTGCGTCACGCAGCTATGTCCTGACCTACCTCTATAAATAGATCTTTTTCTCATGTTTGAGACAACGGGGAGGACGATTTGGAAACTCTAAAAAATACACTCTGCGGCCACATTCTCTTCTCCCCCAGAAACTCTTGTGAGTTGATTTGAAGGAAAATCGCCATTAGATATCAATTTTAGGTGAATCAAACCATAAAAAGAGAAAAAAATAACAAAAAGATAAAGAAAACACAGTTAAATCCTTGGAAACAAAGCATCTGGGAAATCTTAACCATCACTTGTTGAGACATTCAATCCGTTTACAATCCTCAATCTGGGGATTAGGTAATCTCTTTACCATTCTTTGTATTTTTTTTACTTATTTTTGCGGTTTTAGTAATCTAGGCTTCATTAAATTGTATTATGTTCATATTTGGCCATTTTACGAGTTTTTTTTCGTATTTAAGTAAAAAATGATCTGAATAAATCGTTTGAAAATGAGCTTAGGTAAGAATAGTTGCGTCACGCAACTGTTCATCCAAGAGCAGTCGGGTGACGCAACTGTTCATCCAAGAACAGCTGCGTCACGCAACTATTCATTAGGAACAGCTGCGTCACGCAACTGTTCATCCAGGAACAGCTGGGTGGCCCAACTGTTCTAAGTTTCCAGAGTTAATTTCTTCAATAAATCTGAAAATGCCCAACTATGAATAGATCACAGTTTAATTAAGCTTAGAATACTAAAATGTGATTTTATGTGTTAGATCACAGTAAGCTTAGAATACTAAATGTTTCAATGTTATATTTGTATAATTTACAATTCTGTTTTAAATAAAAATGAAAATTAAAATTTGTTTTTTTAAAATTTGAATTGTTTAGGAAATAAATAGAAAATAATAATAAAAAATGTGATTTTTATTGTTATAATAATAATATGCATGGCTTTGGATTTTTTGGTTATATGTTTTATTTCAAATCGAGTTAATGTATTTTAGGTATCGGTTTGTGGCCGCCTTAAACAAAGGCAAAAGAACGGTCTTTTTATTTATTTGATTTAATTTACTTTGGTTGGATATTGGCGATTATGATTGCAATAACTGATTTTGATTGGGACGATTAATTAATTTTTCACATAAGAACTCGGATTCGATCATTCGGGTTGGGTTCAAGTAAATATAAAAATAATTGGCTTTCTAACTAAAAAAATTAGAAATCTGTAGGTTAAAAGGGCCGGATTTTTCCGGCGTCGCTTTCCAACGGTCTGACGTACCCAAGTTCCCTTCCCAGAATCTCATTGATGCGCACTGACTTAGTCTCTTTAATAATTGTTGCAAATGGAGTCATTTTTATAAAATAAAATTAGAAACGGTCCCATTGCCGAAAAAATGAGTGGCGACTCAAAAATGTTTTATAAGACCGATTCATCAGCATCGTATCCAAAATGTTTTGTCACCATTGTTCAAAATAAAAATCACTTTTCCATCAAAAACGAAAAGTGACGTTTTTCGGATCGCTCGTGGGCAGTACGAAAACACCAACATAACAGCTCAGCCTAGTAAACTCCTTCTCGTATTCTATCATCGATTAGGCTACAGAAACCCCTTCATCTTAGCATCTAAATAGGCAGAGCGGACATATTTCTTTTTAAACATTCTAAGAAAAGCTACCTAACTCAGAACAGGTGGCTCAATTGTACTCTTGAGAAAGTCTTCCGTCACCCTACATATCATCCTTAAATAAGCATATTGCATAATCATACCTCTAAGCAGAATCACACTAGAGCTTTCTGAAAACTTTCCCCATCTTCTCTAACCACTACTCTGCCTCCATAGGGTTAGTGGTTCAAGTGAACTATATAGCACCATACTTAATCAATTATCAAATTGTTTACTTATGGTTATTACTAAAGATTACCCATCTTCTATCTCAATAAGGCAGCCACCTGCTAAACTATCACATCAACAGCCCAAATTGGGAGAATCAATATTGCCATTTATAATCCTGAGGAGCATTATCTCCAGGTTCTATGGGGATATTTTCCCCAAACTCTTATCTATAGGGCCACTTCCCTCAAATATTTATTAGAAAACTATATGATGTAGATATGTAATGATTAACTGTCACTCAATATTTGAGAAGACTTATAAATAAACTTTTTAAATATCAAAAATTTAATCCAGTATGCAACCAAACCATGCTCTGATACCAAAATAAACATGTCACACCTTATCCCATTGCAAGACGTGGCATGTCGCCCGTAATATGTTTATCAAGCACTTAGTCTATATAAGAACTCAATAAACATACTATAAGGGACTTAACATTTCATATTCAAAATGCATGTATGGTAATAATTTCAAACACTATTTAAAATATTTTAGATATCATAAGACCCACATTTATAAAAATCTCGAACTCAATAAATTTTATTTTTATAAAAGATATAAACATTCCACTATTTAAAATGTTTTCACTAAAAGTCCATTATAAATTACACATTTACATACTCAAATACATTGGTGAAACCATTTCCCATAAGCCCATTAGAAAGAGGATTACATACTGGATTGTTCCTTTAGAGTCCTTATTAAGACAACAAATTAGTTTTAATGGTAACTAAACCGTTAAAGTGCTTCATAACGTATATTAATAATTTTAAACTCATATAAATTTCAGTCGCATTCATCTGCTCAATATATATATTAGTGACCAGTCTCTATTTTATACATCATACAAATTCCAATAAAATTATTCATAAGGCAATGGCTACATCAGTATATCAAAAATAATCAACTTATATGGAGATATTATGGCATAGATATACAATCATCAATCAATAGTTTTGTCTCCACAGCTTATGCAGACTCAATCCAAAAGGTCATTAGTGCCTTATGAGCTCATCAAGACAAAGCTATCGTAACCTCAATCTGTGATATGAATATCAACAGAAGAGAGACAATCTCAACCTCATTTCGGAGGGAACAATATCATTTGCAATATCATTTATTGCATATCCTTATCAATCATAATATCAACTTCAACAAATAAAATGATATCAGTAGGGTAATAACCATATCATAATATCAACTTCAACAAATGAAGTCATATCAGGTAATAACCATGTCATGCATTTAGCTGTGAGACTTTAAAACATCTCCATTATAAATCAATCATTAGCCATAATGAGCAGCATGCCATTTTGCTCTAACATTTCTATATCCATTCTTTCAAGATCATCCTTCATTTTCAAATCAAATGAGTACTTTGAAATTCATTTCCAACTATTATAAAACATTTAACATTAGTTCTTTATTATTTTATATAAAACACATTTAACTGTAACTTTAGCATTTGCTTTCTTTCTAATCAATTCACAATTGCAATAATCACATTTGAATTCAATTTCATTTGATATAAATATTTGATAAATAAATCAACTTTTTCTCTTGCAAAAGCTTATAAAATAGTAAGCTTAGCATATTGCTTTTACCTTGTAACTTTTCATAAAACATTTCTTTAAAACTATTTTACTCATCACTTAAACAACATAAGTTATAACTATAGTGCACTGACTTGAATTGGAAGGCTCTCCCAGCCTTACTCCTCTACTTGTTGACTTGTCTTCCAATCCTTTCTTCTCAAATACTGTAGCATGAAATTAATATTCATGTTAACTTCATACTACTCAATAAACACACACACTATCACAGGAATGTAAGTTAAGTATTGAAATGTAGTATTCATGTTTTTCCTTCAATTTCACTATGCTTAGCCAACTACGATCTGCCTTGATTTAGGCATGAATTACTTCATTTCTCACACTTAATCACATTCTAGAAACATTAAAATAACAACTAAAATAATGGGATTTAATAATGTGAATACCCAAATTTTGAGGCTCAGAAAGCCTGTTTTCCCGGACTGCAAACAGTCCGGCCGGACCGGAGGCTATTTGGAAGTTCACCGAAAATATGTCATATGTACTAAAAACTTCCGGATATCGATGAGATCGCGAAAGGGGGAAAGCCGTCCCGAATTATTTTTTCGGAGTCCGGATCTTCCCAAGGCGCCTCGAACGAGGACGCCACACCGGCCACTGCGCGGCCGCCGCACGGCGGCGCCTACCCCGCAGGCGGGCACAGCCGCCCACCGGGCAAAGGCACAGCCGCCCCACTTCCTAGGCGAAGGCCTGCGCCGTTACGCGGGCGAGCCTGTCGCCCCGCCGGCGAGGCCTGCGCCCAGCGGCGCGGCGGGCCTTGTCCCCTTGCCGGGCGGGGCCTGCGAGCCCAGCCCGCGGGCCTGCGCCCCGCGCAGCTGGGGCTGCCCCCCAGCCCTGGGCGGGCACCTGCCCAGCTTGGTAGACACTGCACCAGACCAGCGGCCTCCCCCCACCGACGAGGGCAGCACTGCCGCCCTCCCAGTCGCACCCCCGCCAGTGGGCGGGCCGCCGGCCCCACGACAGGCGTTCAGCTGCCGCCTCCTAGCGCATCTGCCGCCGAAGCCAGCTGCACCTGCCGCCCAGCCCCCTGTGCGGCAGTCCGCCCCCCGCGGCACCCCGCCCGGGACCGGAAAAATGCCTATAATAGTCCATTTCACCATTTTCGGTGGCCTTTCTGTTTTGACGACGAATCCCTTCTCCCCTCACTGCTCCTTGCATTTCTTTACCGCTTTGTCATTTTAATTTAATTTTTATTGCATTTTATTGTGTATATTACCACTAAAATTAAATAAAAATTAAATTAATTTAATAACCAAAATGAAGGAGCTTATACCTGGAGTTAAGAAGTGTCGCGATTAAATCAGGTACCTAAAACCGAAAAACTCTGCCTATTTATTTTAGCACTTCATGCAACCTTTCTTTTCTACTCTTAATAATCAAATTTGCATAAAACGCTTCACTTCTTCATTTAGAACAAATAAGACCGTCTTAAATTAATTTGATTAAGCTTAATCCCCGGGTTAATCAATATCTCTGTATTAAATTTAAATCCGACATATATGGCTAAAGACCTAGTTATATTCAATAACTACGGTTCAACTGCCTTTATTTCGAACAAATCCGGTCTAAGTTCCAATTAATCAATAATTGACAAAAGCTAAATCAACGATGTTCTTTGGAAAGCCACAGAATCAACCTTTTCGGCTCAAATAGTCGTAAAAATCCGAACCATGTTTGACGAAACGCCTTAAAATCAATCTTTTCGACTAAAAGTGCGGTAGAATTGAACCATTCTGGGCAAAGCCTCAAATCAGACCTTTGCTACTATCGGCCTAAATCACACATTATTGGCAAACTAATGCCTAAAACAACACTTTTGGCAAAGGCCTAATATCAACATTTTAGCGACAAAACGCTTTAATATCGATCGATTTTTGGCAAAATGACTTTAAAATCAACCATTTTCGGTTCAAACAAGCCTTAAGATATCGACATTTTGGCCAAATAGCCTTTAAATTAAACCAATTTTCAACCAAAGGCTAAAATCAAATCCCATTTTACCGACAAATCGCCTAAATCGACATTTTGTAAAATTAATTGCCTAAATCAACTCATTTTTCGGCCACAAGGCCTTATAAATCAACCATTTTTGCGGAAAATCGCCTTATAATATCAACATTTTTGGCAACAATTGCCTAAATCAAAATCATTTTGCTAAAAGCCATAAATCAACATTATTTGCAAGCATGCTAAAAATCAATCAATATTTTTGGCAAACGCCTTAAACTCCATCACAAAGCAAGCAACTCATGCACGAAGCATAACACAATCGATGCATAAAGCATACACAAACAAATGCACACGCTTACACAAAATCATGCATAAAGCATTGACACACCAAAATGCACCCAAAGCATACACCAAGAACTCATGCACAAAGCATTATCATCACCATGCACAAGCAAAACAAAAATTCATGCATAAAAGCATACACCACAAAAATGCAAAAACATAACACAAAATATGACTAAGCATACACAAAATCATGCACAAGCATACACACACTCATGCATTAAGCACATCATTCAAAGCCCTCTAAAAGAGCCTATCGAACTACGTGATGTTGACTTTGATCTTCCATTCAAATGGAAGTACGTAGGCACGTTCGGGATTTCACCCCGGGTGGCAAGTCGAAATCACTTAAACATTTCATTGATCCATCATTCACCCTTGCAAAACACTCATTCATCGGTTAGTTTATCAGCATGACATAGTCTCGGGATCCACCTCGATTTCGTAGATTGTGCCTTAATCATTGGGATAATTAATCTAGTAACTAGGTTAATTAAAAATGGAGTCATTCAGGTTTTTTTCCTAGTTTACCCTAAAATAATTAAACAAGGTGGCGACTCACACACTCACGTGGCGACTCACACACATCACGTGCATTTCTTTCTTTTGTCATATGCATCACATGCCATATGACATTTGGGGAAGGGGTTCACAAATAACATATTAAAAGTATGCTAAACTCTTTATAAACTAGTGGAATACAAGGTTTTCATCACATGAGTAGCCTGCATTCTTGTGGGTACATCTTTAGTTACTTAAATTGATTTTCCCTATAATTTTAACAGAATCTTCTTCACATCCCAAGCTACTCCCATATAAAATTTCATTAATTTTGGAGCTCATTTACATAGTTAAATAACCTAAACACAGTACCTGATTTTCAGTCAGTCTTTCCACTGAGCAGGCTGCATTCATTAACCTATAACTTCATTTCTCTTCACCCATTGCACTAGCCCTTTTACCATTGCCTTCCCAACATTCCATAATAGATTATCTGTAAAATTTTATAATTTTTAGAGCTCCTGTACCTATTTAACCAAGTCCATCTTAGTGACTGAATTTCAGGATGCTCAATTGTAATAGACTTAAGCAATACTTTACCTTCTTAAGCATTCTTAACTTGTGACTTGAGTTTTCCAGGTAAGTTGCCTCTATTGTAAATATGACTTAAGATTACTTTACCTTCTTAAGGGTGCCATTCTAAACTGATACCTCCATCGTCACTAAATTCATAGCATAAAAATTCTCTTGTAATATCTTTAAATAACATAATTACTTTTCATATCTTCAATATTTAAGTTCGCCGATTGTTAATCACAAATGACCATAAGATTATCCAAGTTGAAAATCTAAATTAATGGCTAACTGAACTATTTGGTGGACCTTCCTCTAAATTCATGCTTAACAATCCTCCATCCACTTTAAACTCACCTTAGTGACTGAATTTCAGGATGCTCAATTGTAATAGACTTAAGCAATACTTTACCTTCTTAAGCATTCTTAACTTACCTCCACCACTAATTCATGCATAAAAACTCTTGTAATACTTAAATAACATAATTACCTTTCATATTTCAAAATATTTAATCCATGATTATCAATCAAATGACTAAAATTATCCAAGTTGATCAATTATGCAAACTGAACATCAAATTCATGCTTAACAATCCTCAACCACTTTAAATCACCTTAAAAGTACTTTTAATCACTACATTCTCACCAAGTCAACAAAAATAAGTAAGAACCTCATATCATAGTTCATGGAAATCAAAAATAAAACCATGGAAAAGAAAGAGAAAGAGAAGATAACCAACCTTTCCTTAAGGATCACTTGAAAATTTCTAAGTTTTCATGCACTTTGAGCTTGCCTTAAGGTTTTCTCTCTCTCTTTTCATGGAGCTTCGACCATTGTTAGTAAAAAATGAGTAAGAGGTGCCTTATGACTCATCAAAAATAGGTGGCAATCAAAACCCTTTCATGGAAATTCACTCCATGTCCTTTAGTTGTCTTTTTGCACATTAATCCTTCTTTTGTTTCTCTTTTCTTACAATTGCACCTAAATCTTTTTGATTGCTTTAGTTTAGGTCCAATTAGGTCTAAACCAAGTCTATTTAATAATCTCACCCTTGTTTAAGCAATAGCATACCAAAATTATCGATTTTCAAGACTTACCGGGTAAAATTGTGTTTTACCAGGATATCATTCTTCTTTAACTTATTTTCAATTCCCTTTAATCTTTCAAATTGCTTTATAAATACTTTGATTTCCATTTAATTAATATTAATAGCCTCTAACTATAATGTTTCTCGTCATTCCCAATCTCTAGATTACTTAGATAGCCGAAATTACTAAACAAGCTAGATTACCAAGAATTACCAAATTGAGGATATATATAAACAATTAAACCTTAATCAAATTTTTTAGGTGATTCATGCTAGCTCCTTATCATCAAAGCTTAAGCTCATTTAACATTCTTCCAATTTAATTTTCATAACAAAATAGGTTTCCATTAAACATCATGTCTTATACTTAATAGTTCCTCATTAACAAACTAAAGTAATTCCAATTATTCTATCCTTCCGAATAACAATAATTACCATAGTAATCAGAATATTCAAGACTGTCAAACTTGTGGTACTACATGTGTGGCCTCTAATACTTACATGGATGATTTCCTGTGGGAATTTAAGGACAGTTATATGTCGGAGGTTTGCATTGATGAAAGGAGAAGGGAGTTTCAGAATTTAAAACAGGGGAATATGATAGTGGCAAAATATGAAGTAAAGTTTAATCAACTGTCTCGATATGCACCATTCCTAGTCTCTACTCAAAGAGACAAATGTCAACAGTTTGAGAAAGGACTGAACCTGACTATAAGAAAGAAGTTGACCACAGCTGATTTGAGAAGTTATTTTGACCTGAGATCCTCCGCCATTAGTGCTGAGAAACTAAGGAAGGAAGATCAGGAGCAAAGAAATAAGAGGCTAGTCATATTTGTAACTGAGCCTAGCCGAAGTTTAGTAAGTATAGAGGAAACCCACCTGCAAATCAGTCTAATGTTAGAGGGTGGTATTCAGGTTTTAAAGGTAGAGCCCTAATGGCACCAATTTATCCAAGAAGAGGCTAAGCGCCTGTACGGGCTACAGAACAAAGGATCAATTGTTCGCATTGTGGTAGGCAACATATTGGTGAGTGTCGTAGATTTTACTAGTGCATGTTATAGATGTGGGTCATTTGATCATATGATTAGAGAGTGCCCTGAGGCACTTGGATTTTCTGAAATGGGAAGAGGTAGGGTTAGTTCTGAAATGTCTGTGCAGAACACCAGAGCTAGTGGTGTTAGATCAGTACCCCATAGAGGTGGAGGTAGGGGTAGAACTAGAGCAACTAGTTATAGTGGTGTACGATCTAAGGGACAAAGTTCTAGTTAGCAGGCTTAAGCCAGAGTCTTTGCTATGACTAGACAGGAGGCAAGGGATGAAACAAAAGTTATTACTAGTAAGTTATCTGTTTATGACCCTGAGGCATATGCATTAATAGATCCAGGTTCTACACACTCATTTATAGCATTGAATCTGGCATCATAATTACACCATGAACATACACCATTGGGCTATGATTTAAAAGTGAGCACACCATTAGGAGATAATGTCGAAGTTAACCAAGTATACTGAGACTATTATATTTGTATAGGACATGTGATGCTAAAGGCAGATTTGATACTATTGTTCCTTTGAGAATTTGATATGATTATAGGAATGGATTGGTTAGCAAGGTATAGAGTTGTTGTTAATTGTTATAACAAAGAGGTTATATTTGAATTGTCAGACCAACCTAGAGTGATATTTCATGGAGATAAACAAGTAGCCACATCATGTTTGATTTCTGCAGTTAGTGCAATTAAGATGATTAAGAGGGGTTGTGAGGCATATTTATCTCATGTTGTTGATACTCAACTTACAAACAGGACAATGGATATTCCTGTTGTAAATGAGTTTTCAGATGTATTTCCTAATGACTTGCTTAAATTACCACCCGATAGAGAAACCAAATTCACCATAGACTTAATCCCAGGTACTACTATGAGCCCCCTCTCGAGCGCTATGGGAAAGATCCGAAGGATAGAATCTAACCAGACGGGCCCATTGGTTGATTGTCAGGGAAACTGAGTCGAAACTCCCCTATAGTTCCTTTTTATTGATCAAATTATCATATTATGGCTCGGTTTAGTGCATAAGTGATATCAGATTGGCTCTTTGGAGCGCTATGACTATATGTGGTGTGTTAGAGTCGCCACCTTAATTTTTTTTTATTTTCGGGGAAAAGATTAAGGGAAAACCTCATGTTTGACTCCATTTTCAGTTGCCTTTTAGGATAAAAGCACTAGCCTCAAATCATTGGGTTCGAGGACTAGGTTTTTGGCTTCTAATCAAAATGAATCAACAGTTTTGGGTTTAATTAAGAAATCAAAATCGGTGTTTTGTGAATGTCAGATTATTGATGCATAGGCATACTTATAATGCATTGCAATATCAGAAATATAGACAAACCATTAAAACCGTAAATAATCAAATGGTTTGTAATTTGGAGGAGAGCTCGACTCTAGCCTCGTCTATCAAGGATTCTAGCTCATGTGACACATTTCCCTAAGTTCCGACCGGCCAGTTTGGTCGAAAGCCCGCTACCTAGGCTAAAATCCGTAGGTTTGCCTTCATACCTCGTTTGTATAAGGATCAAGGCGCATGAAGTTCTATCACCAATTAAGGTGATAGGGTTTTGAGGTTGCCCCTCTTAGAGTAGGCTTAAGGGTTGCCGGGCGGACTAGGCTTAGTTAAAAATTGGTTCTATCGGCTTTGCTGGACGGACCGGACTTAGTTTGCCGAATGGGCCAGGCTTAAAGCATGCAATGTGCCAAATGGACTGGGCTTTACAGCTGATAAGATTCCAAACGGACATTGCTTAATTGACAAAGATTGAGTTTGTGTGGTTATACCCTAGGATGAGGGGTCGAGAGGTCAGGTGGCATAAGCGTGCGGCTTCAGAGTTTCACGATGAAAAACGACCAAAGAGGTCGAGTCTTCCTCCAAATTAAACTAAGGTAGAGCACGAGGACCTTTATAGTCTTAGATACTAGTGTTAGTTAATGAATTAGTTAACTAACAGTTTTAGTCTAAGGAAGACTAAAGTGTTAATGAAAGTTGAAATAATCAACTTTTGAGATCTAAATCGGACTTCAGCTCAACTAAGGAAGAAGAGCAAAGTTGGACTATTAGAAGAATCCAAATATTTTAATTTAATTGAAATGTTAATATTTGAAAATATAAAATCAAAGCATTACACCATAATCCTATGAGTATAAACCAATAAACCATAACCAGTCAACATATCCGGTGGACATGGAAAATCAATTAATGCATTTTTTTTTTTTAATAAAGAGAAAAGTTTTTGATAAATTTATTATAATATAAATTTATTATATACACAGATCTATTAATTTATTAATTATTGTTATTCATTTCCGACTACCACCAACAAATTATTATATGTTGAATTATATGTTTTCATGTAAATATAAATATATGTAGGAAAATTTTTTTAATCAACGTTGCATTGTTATATATCCTTAGGTTTTTATATATATAAATTTCAATTGTATATATAATCATGTGAACATGAATATGCGTAGGAAAATTTTTTCAATCACGTATTATTGTTATTATATTCTTAGGATTTTATTAATATAAAAAATTAATACAAATGAATAGGAAATTATATCACTCGTTTTCATGTAAATAATATATATGGTGTAGGGGAAACATTTTTTTAATACAAAACGTATTGCATTGTATATATATCCTTAGGGTTTTTATATATATAATTTCAATTGTAATATATAATCAATGTGAAAACATGAATAATGCGTAGGATTTTTTCAATCAACGTATTATTGTTGATTATATTACTTAGGATTTTATTAATAATAAAAATTAATACAAATGAATAGGAAAATTATATAAATAGTGAGTATATATATTACTTCATATAGATATATAGCTGCTAATACTAGTTATTATATACTCACTATTACTATATAAAGTATTATAAAGTATAAATATTGGGACTCCTGATTGATGATTCATTATTCGAAATATTCAATTGAAATTTTAAATTTAATATAATATTTATTTTTTTATATACTTGAATTCATAAATATAATTTTTTTTATTGTTACTAAATTTTATTGTTAATTCAGAAATTCAAATATTACGCTCGCGAATAAAGGTATTGAATTCATAATATAATTTTTATTTTACTAATTTTAATTGTATTAGAAATTCAAAATATTAGTGAATAAAGATTGTATTAGAAATTTAAGTATATATTTTAATAATTTTTCACTAAGATATATATACTTATTATGTTAATTAAAGAGTTTCTATTTGTATTTAAATTAGAAATTTTAATTTATAATAATAGTGATACTAAAATAGGAAAGAGAAACCTTGAGATTAACCAAGATATTCTTATTAAATTTAGAGATGACAAAATATTTTTAAAGATTTTAATCATATTATTTAAAAAATTACAGAATAAATAATAAAAAAGTAAGAACTTGGTGAAAATAATTAAAGAAGATATCACTACCTATATAAGAAATAAACCCTGGAGAAAAAAGATTAGAGAAATGAACTTTCAAAATTCTATTATATATATGTATATATATACTGAAACGATACATAATGAACCATCGTTTCGGTTACTTGCTAATTATTCTTTTCATAGCAAAATGAACTTTAAATTATCCTCAATTGTGGACTAGTTTCAATGCACTAAAATCTAATTCGATTCTGGTTTGAACCAAACCAATTGCCATGCATAGCTTCTTATATTCTGATTTTGCAAAAGCCTAGACGTCATCTTATTCTTTCTTCCTTTTTCTCTTTTTTCTTTTCCAAATTGCATTTCATCCTGTATAAAGTAAAGTAGTAAAAAATAATCGAATAAACCAAATTAAGCCGAACTGTTTAAATTTGGATTTTTTTTTCTTTTTTTTTTTAGCTTTTAATTTTATAGAGCTATTGTTTCAGTTACATAAATATTTTTAAAGTGAACCAATCAAAGCTCAACATATATTCCGGTATATAATAATGCTCAAAATTTCAAGTTGATGGCAACAATAAGATTCTTTAACGAAACTCAGCTTCTATTCAAGTACACCCTCCTCGTGCTTAGCAGCAGCACCTTTAAGGCAAGTATATATTTAAAAGCATGAGCCTAAGAGAAGCTTGGTTCTTATTTACAATCCACCTCATTGTGCTGTTAAGTAGCAGCAGTGTTTCAAAAGGAAATTATATACTAAAAAGATGGCAAGCAGCCCCATTGACGGCAGCAAAATGCATAATATCAATCATACCAGGCGAAAAACGATTAACTCTCTGGGAGACAAATTTTTATTCTTATGCCAAACCATCACTACGAGCTTGCACCAAAAACACGAATTCTGTGTTCAATTGCTGCCCGACAGCATGGACATGTAGCTTTACTCTTCTTCCCATAATTGTCACTGCAACTGGCACACATAACTTGATGAGCACACGGAAGAAAAACAACAGAGACCTCATCTTTCCTACAAATCATGCATTCTCTATCACAGTTGGCTCCTTTGTCGGACGAATCCTCCAGTCTATCCAATTCATGAAGCAGCCTAGCAATTGTTTCTCCTTGGGGCTTTGTCTTCTCAGGCTTTCCTAAGGGTAAAGCATTTAATTGATTGTTCAAGTCAGTGTGCTCTGCAGATGATTTTAGACGCGAAAGCTCCTGCTCAAGCCTTTGGAGATCATCCTTGTGCCGTTGGAAGTCTATTTCTATCTTAAGACGCAAAGACTCGAGCTTCCTTTTACTACTGGCCTCAGCTGCTTCTTTGGAGCGTCGTTCCTCGTCTACTTGGGCCAAAGCTTGCTCTTTTGCCTTCACTTCCTGTCTCCACTTTGCCTGCAATAACAGGTTGGATTGTAGAATGGTTCACAAAGTAGATTAGGATAGAATATCATACACTGATAAATAGATGAAAGAATCCCAAAAACTAGAAAGTTGCTCAAAAACTGAATAAAAATGGAAGCATCCATTGCTGATACATTATATAATAAACAAAAAACATAGGTGCTTCTGAAAAAAGATTATTGACAGGGTTGATAATTGAAATGAAGATAAATCATTTTTGTCATGACTTTGGGAAAACCATACCTCAACTGAAAACCATACCTCAAAAGCTAGCTATTGACATATTCAGCTTTATTCAGCTCAACCATACCTCAATAATAAACCATTTTTATTGACAGGTTAAAAGTTAAAAACATATGTAAATCTACAATTTGCGGTGCAAATCTTACAACTTTATTCAATATTGTAATCCTTGGTTTGAAAACTAAAATAGGTAGAAACAATTTCTGTCATGACTTTGGGAAAACCATACCTCAAAAGCTAGCTATTGACATATTCAGCTTTATTCAGCTCAACCATACCTCAATAATAAACCATTTTTATTGACAGGTTAAAAGTTAAAAACATATGTAAATCTACAATTTGCGGTGCAAATCTTACAACTTTATTCAATATTGTAATCCTTGGTTTGAAAACTAAAATAGGTAGAAACAATTTCTGTCATGACTTTGGGAAAACCATACCTCAAAAGCTAGCTATTGACATATTCAGCTTTATTCAGCTCAACCATACCTCAATAATAAACCATTTTTATTGACAGGTTAAAAGTTAAAAACATATGTAAATCTACAATTTGCGGTGCAAATCTTACAACTTTATTCAATATTGTAATCCTTGGTTTGAAAACTAAAATAGGTAGAAACAATTTCTGTCATGACTTTGGGAAAACCATACCTCAAAAGCTAGCTATTGAGCCTAGAGAGCCCAAGTTCATATAAGCCGCCACTGAAATTTCATAATTCCAATGTGGGATCCAAGACAAGTCCATACCTCGTCTTGCAACTAGAATTCTAACATCCCACCATGCTCGGCAGTCCTGGTGTCTATGATGGATCGGCTTTGTGCTAGGGTGGTGTGTGCTAGTTTATTTTTCCCCATAGCACCGGGCAAACATTGCAATAACAGCATCACCACTTAGCCCTAGGCGAACAGCAAAATTACAGTGTCCACCAGCTCTGCTCGATTATAACTAGGAGAAGCAGTGGTTGATTCTGATACTTATTATTATGACTTTAGGAGAACCATACCTCAAAAGCTAGCCATTGATGTTGGAGAGCCCAAATTTGTATAAATCCCACATTGAAATTACATACTTACTAATATGGGATCCAAGCCAAGTCACATGCCTTGTATTGCAACAATGATTCTAACAATTTCCACTTTTTTATTTACAGTATTTCCACACTATTTTAATTGCTATTTCACATCTCTTGATCTCAAAATTTTCATTTTTCTATCTATCTCCCTATTTTCTCTCTTTGTTCCTAATATTGTTTGCCCAAACAAATAGATCATTGAAACTACAATGATTAAAGATGGACCTTATGGTCCTTATCAATAGTTTGATTCTATCTTATTTTGGTTTCCTAGGGATTTCAAAGATGATATGCACAAGAAATTTGCTATTTGGAGATAATATACCATGTAAAGACCAAAAACACAGTAGCTCATAGAACATAAATGAATCTCTAAAAGTGAAGATACAAGTCACACTAGGAAATAAACTTTTCCATGTGGCTTTATATAGAGCATGAATTTCAACCATTTTGTTGCCATATGGTAGACCATATTCCACTTCATTTCACTTTTCAGTTAACACATAACCATACAAGTAGACCACCAGAGGGACTAGCGCTTGCATTACCTGCCCAAAGAGTTCAATCTCACATGGTAAATCAATATTTTAACAAAAATTTTGTTCCTTTTTTGATTTGTACTTGTATTCAAGTTCATGACTCCAAGTTCCGAACTTTGAATTGATATATCAAACACATATTCATGCTCATGTGATGCAGGATCATCCAAGACCTATTAAGAAGTTTTCTTTCAGTTTCCTTCTTTATTTAGGATTCTTAATTAAATTAAAGAATGCTAATTAATCAGGAATAATTTTCTGTTTTCTTTATGGGAAAATATTATAAACATACACCTATATTATGCTAAAATTAACTACTCTATCCCCATGTTTTTTAAAATACACTATCTTGTCTCTATATTTTTTTACTACCATACACTATTCTACTTCAGTTAAAAAATTCAACTTTATCCGTTCAATGACCTGTGAAAGGACATAATACCCCTTAATTCCTCTTAAATTTGCAATTTCTACCATCTATATCTCTTGAACCAACTAATGGAAACATGTCCATGATTAAACAAAATCAAGACGAACGAGTGTCCATATACATTATTAGTTCCTTTAAGCCCAACACATTAATTAAAAAGAAAAGCAAATCAAGAAGAAACCACATTTGAGCATGTTCAGGCACGAAGAAAACAAACCAAAAGAAACAAAAACAACATACAGATCTAAACTGAACCCATGATACCCAAAAGAAAAAATCTTTAGATAAATTCTTTTTTCTGTCATGTATACTGATCTGTCTAAATCTGATGAAGAATCTGTTGAGAAAGTTGGGAACCAATGAGTAAAGTATTGAATGACAAAAATCTAGAAAATTTACCATTTCTAGGTAAACCTACTCTCACATTCAGGGGCTGCAAATTCAGAGGTCACCCTTCTTCCTAAAATCTAATCAAAGAAAATGAATGGGAAGGAAGAGACAAGGATATTCTGGTCCTTTCTTCTAAATTTAACGGCAAAAACTGAAAATATTGACAAAAGGACGAGATAGTTGGCTGGAATCAATATATAGGGACAAAATAGTGTATTTTAAAAAATGTAGGGACAAACTAGTTAATTTTAGCATAATATAGGGACACGTTTATAATTTTCCCTCCCTTTATTTATTTAGGATTTAGCTAAATAGGAATACTATTCAGTTCAGGACTATTAGCTAATTAGAAATACTTTTCAGTATAGAATTAGAATTTGTCCTGACTAATTTAAATAGAACAGCAACAATTAGTAAGTCCTAAAAGTTTTTCTATAAATAAAAAAAGAAGTAAACCATTGTACAATTCCTTCAAAGTTGAATAAAAGTCCCATGAAAATACCAATTGGATACAACTCCAATAACACCTCATCTAGCTTACTTTTAAGCATAAAAGAAGATGAAATTTGAATGTTTCTTCTTTATACATCTATTTAAACATGTATTTACATGTAAAACTTTAATCAAAATGAAAATACTTATATTGTGATAGATTAATAAATTATTAAAGAGGGTGATGCACCAAAATTTCAAAACAAACAAAAACAAAATATTTTAATTCTAAGGTTTTCTTTGACCGATATATTATTTTGTTCCAACAAAAATCATTCTATTCTAGCCTAACTGTTGAGAATTAATTGCCCTATATTCTTCTCCTGCACCAAGTGGTATCAGAGTGCAAAAAATCCTAAATTGCAGGATTTTTTTTTTTTTTATTTTCCTGTTCTAAACCATGTTTGGTTGAGATCAAAGAAGAAGCAATCAGCCCCAACAAACAGAGACGGCTGAGATGTGACGAATGATTGAGAATTTGACTCAGGCTTTACAAGCCTTGCAACGTCAAGAACCCGTGGAAGCCCCAATTGAGATTCTGGAAAGCAATCACAACCAACTCAAGGTTCAACGGGATCTTGGGATTGATGAAGTCAAGGACATAAACCCTTTCCATGAAGCTGGACTCACAAATCGAGCGGCACGAAGTGGGTTGGAAGAGTTGTTACTATGATAGCAGCAGCAGAAAATGAAAAGAAAAGAAAGAAATTTTATGGAAGGGAAAGCTTTATTTGCTTAGTCCATATGGAGAGGACCAGACTCCTCACAACTCTGATTAATACTTCAATAATAATATGAATAAAGAACAAGAAAACGAAATATAAATACTGACAGGAAAGCAAATCAAATCCTAAATAATTGGAAAAGTGGGGAAGTGGCCTAAATAATTGGGAAAGTGGGGAAGTGGATAAGTGATAACTGCAGCAGAAAAATCAGGCATGTAAAGCAGTTTCTATACTCTGAGAAATTCCAGCAACTGATTAATAATACAAATTCCTAAATAATATGGAAAAAGGTGGGGGAAGTGGCTAGAAGTAAATTGGGAAAAGTGGGAGAGTGGATAAGTGATAACTGCAGCAGAAAAAATTCAGGCCATGTAATGATAACTGCAGCAGAAAAATCAGGCATGTAAAGCAGTTTCTATACTCTGAGAAATTCCAGCAACTGATTAATTCCATCTTCTCCAACAGTTTTGACTTCTTCCGAACGCTCTAAACCCATGTGCAAAGCACTTGAGGAGTTAAATTTCTTTCTTGAATAAGTTTTCAGAGGCGGGTTTGTATCATACTACACGCCCCTGATTTGAATGGTAAAGGGATGAAGATTGGTGAAAGTTGCATGCATCGGATTATTTAGATTGGGGAATAACAACGTTGACGGATGTTGATGACCCTAAGGAGAGTGAAAAGGGGAGAAGTTTCATGTTTTAATGCTCAAAACAGTGACTGCAGCAACAAAGTTCCTATAGAACCAATCTATAATGAGTATTATGATGAGAAAGAACAAGAAATTGACATAGTACTTATCCTAGGAGAAAGTATTGTTATTCAACATGTTATTACTACCTCTAAATAGAAGAACAAGAAGATTGGAATGTCAAAGGTGAAAAAACAAAGGAAGATCTTTGTTCTTTAGAAAACTATTTGCTTGTGGATATTGATAGTATTAAATTGCTAAAAAAAGACTATTTGATGCAAGTATCCATGAAGTTGAAGTATATCTTCAAGCAAGAAGGCTAATGCAAATAAGTAAAAATCTTTGTGTTGAACCAACTTTATTTGCTCGAAGAAAGAAAGGATTATTTGAATGGCTGATGTTGGTTGCTCCTGCAAAAGCCTTAAGCACGTGGTATTCTAAAGAGAAGTTTACACAAATTGATCTTATCCTCATGGCTGAAGTATCTAAACTTTTCTCGTCCAAGCTGAGTTCTTTTCAAAACCCGAGGAGAATTGTAGGGAGCATCCAAGACTAATTAAGAAGTTTTCTTTTAGTTCCTTTCTTTATTTAGGATTCTTAATTAAATGAAAGAATATTAATTAATCATGAATAATTTTCAGTTTTCCTTATTTATTTAGGATTTAGCGAAATAGGAATACTATTCAGTGTAGGAGTATTAGCTAATTAGGAATACTTTTCAGAATGATACATGAGCATCCAAGACCATTTAAGAAATTTTCTTTTAGTTTCCTTCTTTATTTAGGATTCTTAATTAAATTAAAGAATGTTAATTAATCAAGAATAATTTTCAGTTTTCCTTATTTGTTTTAGGATTTAGCTAAAGAGGAATACCATTTAGTCTAGGAGTACTAGCTAATTAGGAATGCTCTTCAGTATAGAATTAGGATGGTGGGCCTCATCCACTCCAAACTTCGTGGGCACGTGAGATGGTGGAGGATGGATGTCCATATCCTAACTAATATAAATCGGAAAGCAGCAAGTAGTTATGTATTGTTTTTTTTTTCTCTATGAATTCAGAATTTTAATTCTAAGGATTTCTTTGAAACTGATATGTTATTTTGTTCCAACCAAAATTATCCTATTCTAGCCTAATTGTTAAGAATTAATTGCCCTTATATTCTTCCACTGCGTTATCATGTCTATACTATGTCTTCTCAACTTGTGTAACCAAGTAACATGGGTAGTAATTTATGGTTAATCATCTAACATCAGAACATCAGAAAAGAGATAAGTGGCGAAGATTGACATGGGAGATCGATGCCTCAAAATTTACCTTTATGGACAATGAACTAAGAAACAAGCAATTTATCATTGGCACCACTTGTATCAGTCCAAGATAGAAACAACTTTCAAACTTCAGAAAAAAAAGCCATTGCATAATTAATTTTGCAACTAGCTCAGTATAGGCAAATGGCAATGCTGAGTTGGAGATTGATGTGGCAAACAAAATCAAAACATCTTACATTATGATCTAGAATGAGCGATTATCTTTCTACTTTCTACATGTACCATATTCAGCTTTTCCTGCTATGAAGATAAAGAAGAGTTAATTATCACAAGGCTGACCATCACCTTTAGCTATGACAAACGAAACCTACACCAAAAGGAGCACTTTGAGATGCACTTAATGTTTCATCCCTCCAAAACAAGAATTTAGACTGCCTCATTTTTCAAGATTAAAAGAATTAGGTCTCTACAATTATTGAAATGGCATAACAACTCAAATATGCTCCCCCCCCTCCCGAAAAGTTAAACTGCAAAATATACAGGAGCAGAACATCAAATGCAAAATGGGTACACCTACATCAAACATAATTCTAACACACATTTCCTTCAGAACCTCAGACCTGCAATCAACACCACCCTATAAAGCTAACTAAGCATTTCCATATTAATTTCATCAAACCTCATAAACTAGCCACATCTGGCACCTACTTGATGTTCACTTGGAGTTAGTATGCTGATGATAGTCTATTGCTCTTAAAACTTGTTTTGTGATGCAAAAGGAAAATACGTTCTCTTAGCACTAATTTTATACTTTATTTTTTAAAGATAGTAGTAAATAAAAGTTAGTAATATTATCTCTAAATCATCAACTTATAATCCTTCATAATTCATAACCAAATTTCGCATAACTTATCTTCACTTGAAATTTCCATAACATGTGAAAGTGAAAACACACACAAGTATTGGATCTTGTTGGTGTCTGGTGTTAAGCATGTATGGTGATAGATGACTAAGGTTGGCAGGCAAATAGATAGATACAACATACGTAGACATGAATAAGCAAGGCCACAAATTCAATGTACCTCAGCATCCTTCTGAGCTTGCTCCACCATAACCAAACATCTTTGCAACTCCTTGATCTTCTCTTTCTCATCCGCAATCTCATCTTGCAACTTCATTTTCTGCTTCTCCCAAGCCAAAAGCTTCTTCAGGTATTTCTTCTCTCTCTTTGCTACCTCCAAACAAGTGGTCACTGATTCTGATGCACTTAACTTTGAAGCCTCCATCTCCGCTCTGATTTCTGCATTCTCATTCTCAAGCCGTCTCACGGCTGCATTTGCCCTGTCAACTTGGCCACCTGCCTTCTTCAAAGCATCCTCCATACCTTCCAGCCTCTTGATTGTTGAACTCTCAAGAGTCTGTTTCCCCTTCTTCAATCGTTGTGTTTCCTCCCTCTCCATTCTTAACATTTTAAGCTCAGTTAAGTCACTACTAAGCTTTCTTGCAGCTTGCATTGCCTTCTGATGTGCCCACTCCTTCCGTTCCTTTACTTGTCTCTCCAAATCCTTAATCTGATGAAGCAGAGTTACTATCATCTCATCCTTCTGGTCTTCCCCGGCAAACTCCAAATTCTCATCAAGATTCAACTTACTAAATTCTGAACAAATTCCATCTTGGAACTTTTTCCACTCTGCACTAACCCCATCCCCATTCTTCGAAGTTTGAGACTCCTCAATCTTCTCAACCAAAACCTCAGCCCCTGTTGCAACAGGTGCTACGTCCCCACCTGATGTAACAACTGAACAAGACTCGGATGCAGATTGAGCCTGAGATTGTGTATGCATCTGTTTTGAATTAGCCCTAAAACCAGCAGCAAACATGGCAACGTTCCTCTTCAACAAAGATTTCATTGAAGGTGAAAGGTTAAACCTCTTAGGACACTCAATATCCCTTTGCAAGGACATCTCAGCACTACATGAGAAAAACCGATTAACTGCAAACTCAGATCCTCCCCCATTCCCGAACCCCCACCCTCCATGAAACCTACATAGTGCTGGTGCCACTACACCAACCCCATTATCAACACAATTGTTACTAACACTCTCTACACTGCTCTGCACTGTAGTATTACCATTACCAGTTGAATTAGCCATGGGAATTTCAATAGTACTTGCTCTACCCACATGGAGATCACTCATTAATAAACACCACATGGCATCGCCTTTACTCAGATGTGGCCTAACTTGCTGCAACAAACAAACCAAACCAGCAAGAGAATACTCCTCCAACTGCCTTAAATCATTAAAAATAGGTTCAGATTCATCTAAATTTCCATTACTACTACTGCTACCACCACCACCAGAATTGCTATTCAAATAAGCCAAAGAGTTATGCAATATATTGGTTAAAACATCCATACCACCATAACAATGCCCATTGCGCAATATTGCTTTTAAAGCAGTGTCTTCATCATAACCTAAAGCAATAAGCTTAGAAATGGCTTCCTTATATAAAAATTCAAGGTTTTTTAACAAAATTTCTTCTAATTGTTCTTCAGTACAGTAACCCCACCCGTTATCATCAAGATTGCCATTAGAATTAGGGCTTAGATTGGTGTGGTTTGGATCGTGCAGACCCAAATGATAAGCCAAGGGTTTGAGACCCGATTCGAGTATGGATTTGGAGATTGATGACGCATAGCAACAAGGATCGAATTCAGGCTTCGTTGATCGCGCTCTCCGATTTGTACGGATATGCTTTTCTCTAAAAGTGCAACCCATGTATGTTCTTCGCAAACAAGAGAAAGAAAGAGAAGGATCAACAATCTTGAAGCGATAAGATATATAGATATAATATATAGAAAAAGAAGATTATATGAATACGAAGATCAAACAAAGACTGCAGGAAGAGACTTACAAGCTAGAGAAAGGAAAATAGATGTCTGGTCTGCGGAGAGAGGAAATGGTGACAAAAGGAGCGCATGCAGCTTATAAATATTTGGCCAAGGGTGCAAACTCTGTCTGTGGGCCTGACACTGTTTTAATGGTTGCTCGTGTGGCCATCGGACCAAGTTAGTATCCGATACTTTTTGGATTTGGGTGCGATTAAGCAAAAGTAGGAAAACCAAATTAATTTGTATCAATTCGATTCAATTTTGTATGTAATCAGTTTAGTTTCAGTTTTTAATGGAAAAGATTAAATTTTATTTAGTTTGGTTGGATGTTTATTAAACTGACAAAAAAAAAAGCCTACATGTTTCCAAAACTAATTGAAGTTAAGCCAATTTGGTTTTATATACTATAAATTGGATTTGATTTAAATCTTAAATTTCTTTTTTGTTTTTTTCTTACAATCGAATTCATATGAGTTTGATATGCATTAAGATAGTGTATATCTGTGAGCTAAATGCGACAATTGTGCCACTTGGCCTAGTGCTCCTTCACAATCTTTTAGACATCTTTAGTTTTTTTTACCTTGGCCAAAAACCAGACCCAAATTAAGGCACAAATTGGTAAAACAAGAAAAGGATGTTATACGGTTAGAATGGTGTTAAGAGGCCGACTTGAGCCTTAAATTCGTAAGTTATAAATATTGCATATATAGATTATATTTTTAAATATTTGTAAAAATTTTATGGAAGGCGCATCTTATTTGGAGGGGGCCCTTAGGATTCCTATAAATAGAGAAAACCAATGTTGTAAATTACACTCAAATCTATATAAATAAACCGAATTGTCTCGTGCATTCAAATCATCTTGTATCTCATTTCTTTTCTAATCCCTAATTACATTATATTTCTCTTATGTCCCTCTTGTCTTTATTTTTTCCTCTTATAAACTTTTTTTTATTCTCGCCCCCTTCTTTTTGGACTAGACAGGCCCCCACTTATTTGTCCACCTATCCCAAGGTACTTCTAATATATGTAGGCAAATGGACCCAAATGGACCCATAACCATTTCGGACTCAACAACTTTTTCTGGTTCGATGGGACACGCTAGAGTTTTGTTAAGATATTGAGATGCTAATGAAATCAACCGATCATTTGGTATATCCAAGATCAGACAATTTCATGCAACCAATCAAAAGCTCCATCTTTGGAATAGACAAATTAGTTTATTGGATAATTTGTACTAAGATATTTGAAAGAGCATTTTGGCCAGTTATGGAAGAAACACAGTTGACCTGCATGGACATGCGAGATGCTATATGAACCTACATAATAGTATCGGACGCTTAGGAACTGTCGTAGCATAATGGACAGGCTATGACGACTTGCAAAATTGACCTAGAAATTGATAGAGATATACTATTAACCATGCATATGTAATAGTATAGCTATTAATGATTTTCTATTGACAATTATTTCTTTGTATTTAATTGGAAATTTTTTTCTCTTATAAACTTTTTTTTTATTCTCGCCCCCTTCTTTTTGACTAGACAGGCCCCCACTTATTTGATCCACCTATCCAATGTACTTCTAATATATTTAGCAAATGCGACCCAAATGGACCCATAACCATTTCGGGATATCAACAAACTTTTTTCTGAGTCTAATGGATATACGCTAGAGTTGTTGTCCGTATAAGATATTGAGATGCTAAATTGAACATCAATCCGTTTGCATTTCGGTATTATCCAATGATCAATTCCCATTTCATGTCACAGCCAGAATCACACAAGCTCCGATCCTTCTGTATTATCGTCAGACATACATTTATGGTTTTATTTGGACTCTTATTTGTACTAAGAATATTTCTGGATATGTCTTTGTTCATAAAGGCCCTTAGGTCATTTATTCTTGGGGCCAGTAATTAAGTGGAAGAAACACAGTTTGCCCACTTGCGCTTTATGGACATGACAAAGAGAATGGGTCCTATACATTGAATAACGGCTCTTAGCTATCCAATTTTAGGTAAGTTCGCTTGATATCATGACGCTATTCCGCCGAAATATGTGTCGTGATCAAAAGCTGCGATCATAGTTGGACAGGCAATATGACGAACTTGCAACCAAATTGACCTAGAGAATCTTGATAAGATATATTCTAACCCTAACCACCGCATGCATGTAATAGTATAGCTATTAATGATTCTTCTGACTTGACAATTATTTCTTTGTATTTAATTGGAAATTGTGCATTAAATAAATGTTATTTAGCATATGAACATTATTGTGATGAGTTATCATATTTTTGTATTTTTTGATTTAATTGGGACCAATGTAAGAGAAAGGGTGGAATACCTTTTTGAGTACTGACTGATTAGCCAACATAGTTAAATTCTCTAGGACTTAGAAATAATTAGTTTATTGTGTCTCTAATCTTGATTTATTTTAATATGAGCAACATTTGATTTGTCTTGTAGCGTTGATTTCATTAAAGGGAAGTGAGTTTCAATTATTGGATGAGTAAAAGTAATAGATGGTCATCGGTGAAATTGGGCATAAAGCAAATTTATTTTGTAATAATGTTTTGTTTGAAATATTAATTAATGATAGAAATCCATCGTCTCGTTTTAGAGATGATGTATGCACTTAAGCATATGTCTGTACTATAGGTTTAAAATATGTAATTAAAAACCCTGCAGGTTTGATATTATCCGACACATGAAATAAGTTTGAGCGACAATCTTAATATATGTATTTGTGATTTAAAAACATTCAGTAAGTTATTTAAATGACAGCATCTGTAATCTTAACGGCGGAACGTTATTTTTATTATGTGGATGGAATGTGTAAAACATAAAATAGATAGGTAGTCTCATTCATGTAGCTTGTTTAGGTTGGAATCAATCATCTTTTTTTTTTTTCTTTACTGTTTTATTAATTCTTAAATAATAAGAATATCGTTCGTGTCTACATAGGGTTTTCTTATAATATAACTAGTGGCTGCTGATCCTAGTATTTTTATTTAATTGATTCTGCGTCCCTGCTATGTGCCACCTCCATAATAAATTATGGGAAAGTTAGAGGCTTGTATTTAAATAATAGATAAATTATTTAGTTTTAAAATAACCGCCAAAGAATCAATCTGATAATTATTTTAATTAAAATAATTTTTTATTTTAAGTATAAGTGTAACGTTTCATAAGTTAAAAAATTTGTCGCCCTATCTTCCTGTCGAAGAAGAGTTTTTTTATTTTTAAATAAGCCTATAAAATTTTGCATCAAAACCCTAAGAAATAAAGTTAGACAGGTGCTACGATCTATTACCTATTTCTCCTCCTAGACCATCTCAGAGAGTTCCAAAAGAGGGTGAGATAGTTAGGGAGTATCTGGTGCAGAAAGAGCCCGTTAGGGTAGAGACTCCAAGAATCTCTGGAAAGAAGACCGGCACATGAGCGATTCTGCGCTTCAAGAGGTCACGATAATTATGGATTTGTTCGATAATGTTTTTAGATGTCTTGACCTCACTATTAAAACGTTCATACAGAAATAAGGGGTTGTATTCCGCTTTATACCCGCCTTATCCCTCAATTTTTGGTATCAGAGCCATGACCGAAACAATGTATGATGTGTAAGCCTATTGTCCTTTCTATGTTTCAAGGTCGATGTATCTGATAATCTGTTTTGATTGTTTGATTGGTACATAGTTACAAGAGCTTCAAGAGTTTTTGAGGTAAGGACCAGCAGCACAAAAGTGTGCGGGAGTACCGATACAGGCCCTTGTTTGAGTTGTATATATATTATATATTTAGAGTATATAGATATATTTTGGGTTTCTTGTTCGCCCCATGAACAGGAGAGGGCAAGAAAAGGACGAAAAAAAAGAGAAAAGAAACATCAGCCCTCAAATGGAGCGTTGAAGGAAAAGGGCAGCGGCGGCAGGGCTTTCTTCGTGTAAGAAGAAGCTGCTTGCTTGCCAAAATTTCCATCTGGTCCTCAAGTTTTTTAAATTTTTATATTTTTGACCCTGAATCTTAAGTTTTTATTTTTTTTTGACCCTGAATCTTTCTGTTTTATTATATTTTTAACCTGTGATTTTAATTTTTTATATTTTTGACCCAGAGAGTATCAGTTATTCCGTTTTGGCCCCTGGAGTTATTTAAATTAAAGTGACTCTGTGTTTCTTGGTTTTATTAAAAATTGCCTAGGGGACTCTTATTTCCGGTTTTTGCAACATGTTGCCAATTAGTTTCTTGTTTTAGTCGCAAATGTCCTCCAAAAGTTCCTGAACCCTTTGCGAAATGGCCCAGAGAGTTTTTCTGCTTTTTGCAGAGATAAACCCAGAATGTTTTAATTTTTTGCAATATAATAGACCAGAACACAAGATTTTTAACATTTTCACCAAAACTGTTAATTTATTGCAAAATGTCTTAAACAATAGTATTATTTTTGCAATTTTGATTATATTAATTTATTTTAATTTTATGAATATAAATTGTGAGTGGTTTTTTTATTTACTTTCTAGGTGTAATTATTTGAGCATTCTTCCCCATCGGAGATGTTCATGTTTTAATGATAATCTCACCTGAACTAGTCTTAATTTGATCCCTCTCATTTATTTAGACTCTCCATCTGAGTAGAATTAAGTTATTTGTCGTACATGAAAATCAGATGTTATACTATTTCTCACACATTAATGTTAATTTAAGAGGACATGTTATCGATCCCATGGAGTAGGTATGTTGAAGCGGGTCTTAAATCTAAATTTAGTAATATGCAAGAAACATGTTGGATTTGGTTGAATCTCTCCCATCGAGGTTTTGTGCTATTCTGAATGTTGTAACGGTGTATTTTTTTTTGAACCAGCTTGCTGATATCAATGTTGTATATTTGCAATTTTGATTTATTCAATGTTTATTTTATTGGGATATTTTGCCCTATTGTGTTGTTAATGCATTGATCTTATAGAATGGGCATCATTCAGTCTCACTTACTGCAAAACAGTCTAACCCAAAAGCAAAACTGATGTCCAAAACTATGTTGAGCGTCGGAAGAGGATTATTTTGGAATTTGCTAACTGCGTAGCAGGAGTAACTTAAGTCCTTGGTGCTCTTCACATGAAGTTGTCCTGAAAAACCCGGTCTGTAAAGATGTGC